ATGTGCGCTAACGAGGCTGCAGTGATGGCACTGATAGTATGTACTGATGGGCTCTGATAGGTGGCACTGATGGGCATGGATGAGGAGGCACTGGTAGTTGGCACAGATGGGGCTTGACAGGCATCACTGATGGGCACTGAAAGGCAGCACTCATATATGGCACTGATAGGTGGCACTGATAGGCGGAACTGACTGGCACTGATAGGCAGCACTGACTGGCACTGTTAGGTGGCACTGACTGGCAATATTAGGTGGCACTGATAGGCAGAACTGACAGGCACTGATAGGCGGCACTGACTGACACTGATAGGCGGCACTGACTGGCGCTGATAGGCGACACTGACTGGCAGCACTGATAGGTTGCACTGACTGGCACTGATAGGTGGCACTGAAAGGCAGCTCAGAGGGGCACTGATATGTGGCATTGATGTGCACTGGTAGGCACTGATATGTGGCATTGATGTGGCACTGATGGGCACTCGCAGGTGGCATTGATGAGCACTGAGAGCTGGCATTGATGGACACTGACAAATGGCACTGCTGGGGCTACACTGATCATCAGGGCACACTGATCATCAGTGCTCTGATGATCAGTGTAGATGTCCCCTCTGAGGAATGCCGATTACCGTCTCTCCTCTCCTCTCGAGCTGCCAGTGTGACAGCTCATGAGGAGAGAAATGCTGATAACCAGCATTTCCCTATTTACATGCGATCAGCTGTGATTGGACATGGGTGATCACATGACCGAGTCAACGTCTTCGGCTCTTTCCATTGATCGGTGATTCGCTGTGTCCGAGAGACACAGCACACCACCGATCGCCGCGATGCGTGCCCCCAGAGCCGAGCATGTGCGGTTAGAGTGGGAGGACGTCACATGACGTCCTCCCAGAACGAGAGAACCGCCTTGCACCCGTCATTTCCCTATATGGTGGGCGAGAGGCGGTTAAACAATGCAGAGGATTAACCCCTTAGGTTCCACAGTGAGTATAACAAGCATGCTTTACTGCATATACAGAGTGATTTTACTGCTGTGGGTTTAGTCAGGGGCAGACTGACAACTCATGTGCCCCTGTGTCCTCGCCCACACTTAAACCACACCCAAAAAAGCCTATGAAAGGTACCAGGGGCATCTCATGGGGCCCCCTACTGACCCCGAGCCCTTGGGTAGTGCCCAAATGGTCAGTCCGCCCCTGGGTTTAGTAACACTTTAAAGTCGCAACGACTTTAAAAAGGTTCCTGCACTACTTTGGTACAACTTTCGTGTGGCTTGAGTGCCATGGACTGCAATGTAAACCCTCAAAAGTCATATGAACATCGTACCTGAATGTTGAACATGCAACAGTTGTCCATTATCATTGGCCAAAATAGCATCCAAGTCTCACCCAACCAATGTTGCATCAAAGTTGCTCTCGAAAATCATGCTACTTTGGAGTCACAGTAGTGTGAATAATACGAATACTGTTGCTCTGGATGGCTTGAATGTTGCCTTTTTATTTTCTTGCTTCCTCAGTGTTAGATGAGGTTTTATTCTCATAGTGGCATGTACCGTGAAGGGTTTACCCTTACACAGTAACCAGCCTAAGGTATTTGTGCAGGCCCTGCGGCACTTTAATTTGAATGGTCACTCTGTACCTGCGGGAAAAAGGTCCCTGACCCTGATCCAAAAACACACCTGTAGGACAGCTACATGGGACCATGCAGTTTCATGCAACCGAAAAGTGTATACCTAACCTAAAGCTATTATTTTTCTTTAAAGAGGACCTTCAGCCCCCCTTCTGCCCCCCCCCACCCTCCTTTGCCACCATTATAGAGTGTGCACAGATGTGCCAAAGGGCTATGCCCGGCCTTCAGATCCTGGAAGAGCTCTCTGGCACATCTGTGCGCATGCAGGTGATTTGCCGTGTATGCACAAAGATGGAACTGCCCTAATAATCTTCTAAGAAACTATGTGCAGATGAGCCCTATGGTACGTGTGCGCATGTTTAGGGGGACATGGGGAAAAAACATAATTCTTTACCTAGGCATGAAATAAGGAAATACTGCTTTGCAGCGTGAATACATGTCACCTGTTAAAAAAAAAAATGTCCAACTGTAAGAGAGGGAGGAAGCAGGGCAACATGACTTGTACTTTAGAATAAGGGCTTGTTCACACCAATTTTTCTGCAGGCATTCTACAAGGGTACAACACAATCAATTGTTCTCTGTGTGCTTTTTCTGCGCAGGAATCTGCAACGTGTATAAAACTCAATGTACCATGCATGAAAGTGATTGAAAGTGATGGAAATTGATGTCTCTGCAAGTGAAATCTGCCCATCAGTTTTCATCAGTTTTTCTGCACGTATGGTGTGAACGAGGCCTGCAGGTCAATAGGAATTACAGACATTACAGATGATATATTTAGTAAGCAGTCTATTTAGTAAGCAAGTGTAGCACTGCCCCCTTAGACGTTGCTGAAGTTTTCGGTCCCCCTATAGTCTTGCACAGCCAAGCAACACACATTTCCACACCGACTTGCATTCAGGAGTCAGGAATCAATCCTTAAATTTGTTTTTGGATTTTATTAGGGGGATTTCAACTTGGATAAGGGGTTTACGGGATGCCCAATGGAACTGAGAAACTGAGGACAACTTCTTGAACTATGTACAAGTTGTTACAGCAAAACAGTTTCTTCTAGAGGGCTAGCCAGCATCTCCTGTAGTACCACCCCAGACCCTAGATTTTCCTTATCCAGCTGTTCCGGGTGAATCCCTGAGCAGGAGATCCGGCGTTCGCCACATAGATAGTGAAACAGTTCTGGGTGGCAGGCTAATCCAGCTTCCCACTAGAGTGCCTCCTTCCCTTATTTGACCCAGGGGTGAAGGTCTACTCACTCAGTCCTTCTCCTGCTGGGGGGTCTGTGACTGCTACCAGGCCTTTTAGCTGGGCCGCTCCTTCCCTGCTACACAGGTGGTCCTCACTCTGGGGGTTGGTGAAGGTCTGAGCTTTCCTCCTACCAAGCTTCACTGCCTTTAGGTGAGCACCTCTCCATCTGAGCCCCCTCCCAGCCTGCTGCTCTCCAGCCTCACTTCTCCATCTCCACCTTCCACCCAAACTCTCCTGCTGCTGGGCAGGCTCTGTTACTCTTAAAGGTTGCCCTGGCCCCTTGCCAAGCCTCCTGTTGGGGATTGGCCAGGATCCTCCAAGCGTACAGGCTAGTCACTCCTCACATCCACCCACTGCTTCTAGATCTTTCTCCAAAGTTCTAGGCAGGGGGAAATTCCAGAGAGCTGGTCTGCAGAGCCTCTCAGCTCTGACCCCTACTATCTATCACACCCAAGCTGCTACTCAGCCCTCCTTGCCAACAATTGGAGTCTAGCTCCCCCTAGCTGACTAAGAGAGTGCTACACAAGTTAATATGTTTTTGTTTAAAGTAGCTTTTATAATTATAGGTTTTTCTAAAAAAACAACAAATACAAAAAATATGTTTATGCTAAACCAAAAGCAAATTAATTTTTTAAAATTGTACCACAAATGCATGTAATCCTTTTCCAATCAGTTTTCAGACGCTTCTGTCACTGCATCTTCATCCATGCCCTTGCGGGAATTACAAATCTAGTAAGTGCACTGAACACTGAAGCTTAAACAACAAAGTTTATCCACTGCATCTGAGATTGACATCTGTTTATATATAGGTCACTGACAATTGCAGAGACTGGAACAATTGCTTCTTAGGTCAGAAAAATGCTCAGCAAGTACTATAGAAAGCAATATGGGTATTGGTGTCTGGGGATTAAAAGTGTTAGTGCAGGCAGGTGTAGAAATTCTTATCAAATCCAATTTTATTCCTTAGAAATTGCTGTTATGCATTTTTAAATACTACCTCAATCTGTCTTTGTACCAGCTTCCTATAATCCCCTGTATATTACCATTCACACTGGGAAAAGAATTGTAAGCCAGACAGGCTCTTTTGTATTGCACATTGCTTTGAATCTAGCAATTTGAGATGTGCTAATTCTCTCATGTCTGAAAGTGTATTCTTTATGTTACCAATAAGCGGCAAAACAGCACCGCATTCCTGTGCAAATCACATACGAATTGTGTTACCTTTTGTATGGCTTAAATCGCACCACATCCGCTCCAAAAAGGTGCAGGACCCTTTGTTTGGTCTGCACTAGAATCGGATCGCATGGGTTTTCACACCCATTCGATCCGATTGTGCATAACGCACAGCATTTTGCGGACTGATTTTGGGGTGTTGTTAACTTAACATAAACACCCGCAGCGGTTCACGTGAATGGGGTGAGATTGTGATGCGGTGAGGAATTTGCACAGAAAACACTGCAAATTCCGCATTGCATCAGTGTGAACCCGGGCTTAAAATCAGCAGATACAGTATTTATAACTCTTGACTTTTATTTTATTTTTTTTTGGGGGGGGAGACTGAAACTCCTCTTTACGTTAACAACATGCCAAACACAGGTCTCAAACACACTGCTTTTGCCTGCACCAGATAGAACGGTACAGAAGTATCATGTGATCTGGGTGCAGTGCTTTTGCACTACTTTTGGTGCGCTCCAGTGCCAATCAGCCCATTCAAAATGAATGAAAGGGGATTTTTTAAGAAGCTTTTATTGGATTATCAAAAATAACTATTGTTTGTATTGTTGTTACAATGCTGATGTTAAATGAAAATTGTATGCTATGACTATAGATTTCCTTTAAGAAGAGGTACATAGATTATTGTTCATAGGCCTGGCATGTTTGCACTTTAACCACTAGCCTACAGGGCACTTATACCCCCTTCCTGCCCAGGCCAATTTCCAGCTTTCAGCGCTGTCACATTTTGAGTGACAATTGCGCGGTCATGCAACACTGTACCCATATGAAATTTTTGTCATTTTTTTGTGACAGATAGAGCTTTATTTTGGTGGTATTTAATCACCTCTGTGTTTTTTATTTTTTCTTAAATAAACCAAAAACCACTGAAAATTTAAAAAAAAAATCATTTTTTTTAGTTTTTGTTATAAAATGTTGTAAATAAGTGATTTTTCTCCTTCACTGATGTGCGTTAATGAGGCTGCAGTGATGGGCACTGATAGGCTGCACTGATGGACACTGATAGGTGGCACTGATGGGCACTGATGAGGAGGCACTGGTAGGTGGTACTGATGGGCATTGACAGGCATCACTGATGGACACTGAAAGGCAGCACTCATATATGGCACCGATAGGCGGCACTGATAGGTGGCAATGATAGGCAGCCCTGAGTGACACTGAGGCGGTTAATCACTGAACTGCTTGAACACAAAGTACCTGTAATTCTTATATGTATGGGTTGTTCATATATAAACATTACAAAAGTGGTTGTCATTTACCTGTGTGAGCAGTGATGGGTCAAACACCGCCGTGTTCGGTTCTTGGTCGAACATTTAAACCTAAGGAATGTTTGACCGTGAACTTCGAACTCAATGCAAGCCTATAGGACTCAAATTAGTAAATTCAAAAGTGCCCATTTTGCAGGCTTATATGCAAGTTATTAGCCGTTAAATGGTATGGGGACTTGGGTACTGCCCTGAGGAATATACATCAGTGAAAAAAAAAAATTCAAAAAGTACTGTTTTGAAAAGGGCAGTCATTTTTTATTGCTTAAAGTAAGCAAAAAAAGAAGAAAAATTCTTTCAAATATCATGCCTGGGGGGTCCCCTTAAACTGCCTGAAAAGTTGCACATCTGTTCAATGTACAGAACCTGCTGCAGCAGGACTGACATTTTTTTTTTAAATTACACTTTTCTTACTCCTCTTCCATCTTCTCTCTTTTTTCTTTTCTTATCTTTTTCATTTCTCTTCACCTCTTATCACTAGTTGTACCAACTTACAACTCTGTACCCTAACGACATCTGTAATCCCACATCATGAGAATATGTCTTATAAGAGCCACAAAATCACTTAGGTATGTTGACATGCCCTATGCCTCACATTCCCATGTGGCCCCCACATATCTTGGCCATCACCTTTGCTTTCTGGGGTCCTTTCAACCGCCATTTGCCTTAAGGATATCTTATCCGGTGGTCACCATTCTAACCAAAGGCAGCATGCCTCACGAAGATTCTGATCGTTGAGGTATGGTTAATTGCTAAGTCACTTAGAGATTTCCTCACCAGAACAATAACCTAGTACTTTGTTATAGAATATATTGGAATACGATGTCATACTGTTGCCGTTACTTCTCGCAATTGTTTGTATGCCCCTATACTCTGTTGTGTTCATACTCTGAATCCAAAAAAATACTTGAACAAGAAAAAAATGACAATTTTATAAAAAAAAACAGTGTGGCCCCCCACCCCCAATCCATATCAGACCCTTTAGGTCTTTTAGGCCTGGTAGAACTTAAGGGGAACCCCAACTCCCAAAAATGGGGGAAAAGCGTTGGGTCCCCCCTAAATTCCTACCAAACCCTTGATCTGAGCACAGGCTTGGCAGGGCAGGAAAGGGGGGAGATGATTAAGCCCCTTGGCTTACTAGACCACGTGCCCTCAGCATGGGGACGGTGTCCGCATGCTGATGGGATCAAGGGCCTCTTCCCCACAACCCTGGCCCAGTGGTTGTGGAGGTCTGTGTTCAGGGGGCTCATTAGCATCAGGGTACCCCTTTAAATAAAGGGGCACCCTGATGTTGCCCCCTCTTGTGAATGAGTAAGGGGTGCTTGTACCCCTACCCATTCACTAAAGAGTTAAATTTAGAAAAAATATTACAAAATTTACTTTTGAAAAAAACAACAGTTTTTGACAAGTTCTTTAATGAAAAAAAAAAAGCCAAAAAATGGTTGTTACGACAACTCGCTGAAGTAAAAACAATGCACTGTGGGAGCGCAGTCCATTGTGGGGCGCGGTATGTAAACAGTTCACCATTTGTGTTTTCAGCAAACACACAAACGGCCGATGTTCAAGTCGAACTTACGTTCAACTCGAACATCAAGCCCATCCCTTTGTGTGAGCTACAGTATACAATGTTCAGCATAAATGAGTACACCCCTTTTGAAAAGTAAGATTTTAACGAATATCTCAATGAACACAAGAACAATTTCCAAACTTTTGAAAAAACTGAGTTTTATAGAACATTTGTTTAGCTCATTACATGAAAGTAAGGTTAATAATATAACTTAGATAACAAAATTTTCAGTTTTACTCAAATTTGTTCATGCAAAAATGAATACACCTCACCCTGTTCTTCAGAAATGCAACAGTGGCCTTAGATGTGTCATTGTCTTGTTGGAAAAGTGCACGACGACCAAGGGCACGGAGTGATGGTAGCATCTTCCCTTTCAATATAGAGCAGTACATCCATGAATTCATGATACTATCAATGAAATGCAGCTCCTTGACACCAGCAGCACTCATACAGCCCCACAGAAGGACATTGCCACCATCATGTTTCACTGTAGGCACCTATTTTTCTTTGTACTCTTCACCTTTGCAACACCATACAGTTTTGAAGCCATTAGTTTCAAAAAACATTTATCTTGGTCTCATCATTCCAGGGTCCCAGTAGTCTTCTTCTTTTTTCAGCATGGGCCCTGGCAAATTTTAGGTGGGCTATTTTGTGCATGGGCTTTAGGAGAGGCTTCCTTCGTGGATGACACTCATGCATGCCATTAATATGGAGTGTATGCCGTAATGTGTTGCGGGAATCAATCATCCCAGTCTGGCTTTCTACTACTTTAGCTAACTGCAGTGAACCTGCACAGCGATTTTCTTCAACCCTTCTCATCAGAAGACGCTCCTGTCGAGGTGTTAACTTCCACCTGCACATCTCTGTGGGATGCTTGCAGTTCCGTCTTTGTACTTTTGCTACAGTATTCTGACTGATAAGTAAAGCTTTGCTGATCTTCTTGTAGCCTTCACCGTTCTTGTATAAAGAAATGATTTTCTTTCCAGGCCTTGTGACATTTCTCTTCCATGTGGTGCCATTGCTGACAGCATGAAATGGGAAGGGGTTTTTCTTTGTTAAGTAACGCCATTTTATAATCCACTGTCTGCTGGACATCTGTTTAATGAATAATTAGACTCAACTGTAGTTGAATTTTTGTTAATTAGGATTTTGTTGTCTAAAATTTTGCTTTGCTCCTAAGGCTTTCATTGGGGTGTATTAATTTTTGCAACATGGTCTTGAATGAATTTGTTAGGAAAAATACTTTTTTGTGTGTGCAAATGAACAAATCTTGTTTGCAATCAATGGTCCGCATTTGTGGGAGTATTTTATAGTATAGCATCCCATAGAAAATGTTGATTCTGAAAGGAAAGGAAAGTGAAGGTTTTCTGACAAACCTGTTGGGGTGTACTCATTTATTTTATTTATTATTATAGGTACTTATATAGCGCTGTCAATTTACGCAGCACTTTACATATATATATTGTACATTCACATCAGTCCCTAACCCTCAAGTGGTGTACAATCTAAGATCCCTAGCTTACATTCATACATACACATACTAGGGCCAATTTGGACAGGAGCCAATTCACCTACCAGCATGTCTTTGGAGTGTAGGAGGAAACCCAGAGGAAGCCCACGCAGGCACAGGGAGAACATGCAGGCTCCAGGCAGGTGGTGCCGTGGTTGGGATTTGAACCGATGACCCTAGTGCTGCCAGGTGGAAGTGCTAACCATTTAGCCTCTGTGCTGCCCCGCATTTATGCTGAGTGCTGTATGTAGCAGTAGATCGTGATAATATGGACCACATCAATTTTGTCGCAGTAGCTATAATTGAGTCATTCCATAATAATGATGTTTTGTTTTCATACTCCCAGATAAAGGCCAGGTTCACACTTGTGCAGGCTGCTCCATGAGCAGGGGCGGACTGACCATTTGGAAACTCGGGCACTGCCCGAGGGCCTGGGGTCAGTAGGGGGCCCCATGAGATGCCCCTGGTACCTTTTTCATAGGCTTTTCTGAGTTTGGGCAAGGACACAGGAGCCCCATGATCCCCTATTGCCCGGGGGCCCCATGAGTTGTCAGTCCACCCCTGCCCATGAGGGTAGGGCAGCCCATTCATATCATTAGGCTGCCCTAAACTTAGAAATGCAAGGAAAAAAATCCCAGACCCTTTTTGAAAATTGCACCACATAGAACTAATGGCACCCGTGCACTTCTGTTAAACAGCGACGTGTTTCTCTCTCTTGCTGGTAATGCGTTCGATTGTGCGCACATTCCCAGCATGCAATAGTGTGAACTTAGCCAAAGGCTGTACTCGCTCACTTTTTCTATATATTTAGCTGTCACCTTCCCAATAACATTTATTGAATACCTGAATATTGTTGTACACTAAGGCCGCAAAACTATAACATTTGTATCTTTATATAATATATGAAATGTAAAAATGTGCAATTTTATTATGAAGCCTGATAAGCCCCAAGCTGCCATATGTCTCACCTGTACTTTTACTAAAAACTGTATCCTATAATTAATAAAGATGGCTTCATTATTGAGCATCTCTTTGAAGTGAGGGCTCTTCATATTAATACAGCAATTTGTATTCTCTGCAGTGAAATCTCCTGAGTTTCTAGTCACTCAACAAAGCAGTGTGCTATAAATAGCTTTTATTTCCCTAGAACAGCAGTGTTCCAGACCTGGTACACAGAAGAGGATAGTGCGATTATTGTCACATCTTTTACAGTGTATTAACGCAGTTCTGCGACCATCACAGTGGCTGACATTGATGTCATGGAGAGTTCTTGGATTCCGACCAAGGACTGGAATTGTGGAATGTTAATTACTGACAACACTGGCTCTGTGTTTGTCAGCTTCCACTCTTTGGATGGACAAATACGTAAATTGGCTTACATGCCCTAGACCATTAACATTGGTATCTAGGTTTTTTTTTTTAGTTTGTTCCCTTGTGTAGCTTAAAGGCATGCTTCTGTCAAATTGAAAAATTAACATTGAAATACATACATGGGTCACAGCATTCTTGCCTAGAGCTTTTGTCTTTCATTCTGGTGTTGCTTTAGCGCATCGGCCCATGAAATGTATTGAAAATACAAATAATGTTAAATTGGCTTTTCTATATTTTGAATATTTGCAATGATTTCTAAATGGAATGAACAGGTAACTGAACCCGTGGTTGTGAAAAAGGCAATTGCATAATGTATGGACAGCCTTAGTTGCGGTCTATGCAAGGATTTCTGTCTACAGAAGCGAAGGGGCAATTTTGCTGTGCCCTCCCCCCACCGTCCTCCTGCCCTCCACAATGCAACCCCACAGCCATGCTTGTACCTCTCCATTTTGCATCTGTAATGTGATGGTGTGCACCATTAAGGATGTTACACACACTGAAAATTTCAGCTGTGCTGAACTGCCACTAAACAGCAGTGTGTAATGAGGGGGCGGAGTTACGCATTTCCCACTTTCCTTCACCAAGACCGGGAGGAGGGGTGGGTGGAAGGGGAAACTGCCCAAGGTGGAGTCTTGTGAGAAGGGAGAGGTGGGTCCTATATTATGAGCTG